CCTGAGAGGAAGGGTTTGAGAAAGGCATTCCATTCAGGACGGAGTGTTGCAAGGTTTCACACTTTCAGCACTTTCCAGTTAGAGTCTCTATATTTGCTCCCATCTACTGCAGGAGTGTCTCTGATGATGACTGAGTGACACATAGACATATAGAATATCATTAGGAGTCATTCTATTGCTGTGTTCCTTCAGCAGGAAAGTAGTATTTGGTTTTCCTCTATGTCTATGGCCTATATAGTCTCAGATTTTTGGCTACACAAGCAGTGACAGGCATGGGTTCCATCTCATGGAGTGAACCTTAAATGCAATCTGATAGTTTGTGGTTGGCTTGACATTTAGCTTTCTCCTCTGGTAGCATTATAGACTACCCTCTAGCACAATGAACACTAGTCAGTAGGGGTGAAGGTATATCCATTCCTGGCTTCCTGAGTAACCACCACTGACTTCCATAGTGACTGTACATTGTTTAATTGATCTTAGCTATTTTGACTTGTGTTAAGATGTAATCTTAAAGTAGATCTGACTTGCATTTCCCTGATGACCAAGAACATTGAAAATTTCTTAAGTGTTACTTGGCAATTTGTGCTCCATCTTTTCAGAACTCTGTTTAGTTCTGTATGCCATTGTAATTAGGTTATTTGGGTTCTTTTTGGTGTCTAGTTCTTTTAGTTCTTCATATACTTTAAGTATTAGCCCTCTATTGGATGCATAAATTTGTAGAGCTCTTTTTGTAGCCTGCTACTTTGTCCTAATGATGGTGTCCTTTGCTGTACAGAAGCTTTTCATTTCATGATGTTCCCATTTATTTTTGTCTTAGTGCCTATGCTATTGGTTTCCTGTTCAGGAATTCTCTTTCTGTCCAATGAATTCAAGATGATTCACATCTTTCTCTTCTATATTCAAGGTATATGGCCTTATGCTGAGGTTCTTGAACTATTTGGAGTTTGAGTTTTGTGTGGGGTGATAAAATGGGTCTGTTTGTATTATTCTATATGCAGCTATCCAGTTTGACCAGCACCATTTGCCGAAAATGCTGCTTTTTTCTAGAGGGTTATTTCCAAAATGTATGTGCACTCTTGGCGTTTTCTCTTTAAGCCTTTTCTTGACTGTATCAGCCTGTTAGACCTGAAATGTTGGGCTGCAGGACTGGCCAGCCTCGGTTTACCTGGCCACACTGTGCTCTCCACACAGCAGCCTTCTTTCAGATCTTTAGAGCTCAACCATCAGTTGGAAGAAAGAAATATGTATATAAAGTAAACGAGGCCATCAGCTGGCCCCATGCCTGCTGCCTCTTGGAGCACAAAGCTCACACACCGTGTCTTAGTCACTACTCTATTGCTGTGAAGAGACACCATGACCAAGGTGATTCTTAGAAAAGAAAGCATTTCATTGGGGGTTTGCTCACAGTTTCAAGGGCTTAGGCCATAATCATCATCATGGTGGGGAGCATGCAGCAAGAATGGCAACACACATGGAAAAGTAGGTGAGAGCTACACCCTGACCCACAGGCAGGGAGTGCAAGCCTGGCCCTCGCAGGAGCTTCTGAAACCTCAAAGCCCGCCCCAAGGAGCATACTACCTCAGATAAGGCCACGCCTTCCTAATCCTTCTAAGGCTTCTAAATAGTGCCAATTCCTGGTGACTGATCACTCAAATATATGAGCCTCTGAGGGACATTCTTATTCAAACCATCACACTCCTCAACATGTGTCATATCAGGTCAATGCTACATAGTGACCCCCTAAACAGATCTCATCTTTGTTGTCCACAGACACATGGCAGATAGGATGTCATTTTTAGTGGCAAGAAAACACACTGGCTTTACAGGGATGTGTTTATGTGTCAAGTTGACAAAAGTCCGAGTTGTTAGCCCAGACACAGTAAGTTTGGCAGATGGAGTCACATTATTCAGTTTTTGGATATTATGACCACCCCCCCAAAAAAGGACAAAGCAGGGGGAATATCTTTCTTTTGGCTCATGTTTTAGAGGCTTTGATGCATGGTTGGATGGGCCTATTAATTTTCCACTTCTGGCAGAAATAACATGGCACAAAGGCAGTCAGAGGGCATGGCAAGCCAGCAATAGGAAACAGGGGTTAAAAGGGGCCACAGACAAGACGTACCCTTCAAATGCTGCCTTGGGGTGACCACTGCAGTGATGAAACACCGTGATCAAAGCTACTTGGGAGGAAAAGACTGATTTGGCCTACATATCCACTTTACAGTTCTTCATCAAAGGAAGTCAGGACAGGAACTCAAGCACGGGTGGAACCTGGAGGCAGGAGCTGATGCAGAGGTCACGGAGGGGCGCTGCTTACTGGCTTCTTCATCAAAGGAAGACAGGACAGGAACTCAAGCACGGGTGGAACCCGGAGGCAGGAGCTGATGCAGAGGTCATGGAGGGGCGCTGCTTACTGGCTTGCTCCCCGTGGCTCACTTGACCTGTTTTCTAATGGCGCAGGGATGGCACCACCTGCAATTGGCTGGATCTTCCCCATCAATCACTAAATAAGAAAATGTCCTACAGGCTTGCCTACAGTCAGAGCATATGAAGGTATTTTTCTCAATTGAGGTTTACTCTTTCAGATAATTCTAGTTTGTGTCAAGTTGGCATGACACTATCTAGCACAGTTGACCTTTTGTCAACTTGGCACATAAATACATCACTGTAAAGCCACAACCTTTCCTTTCTAACTCATCCCCAAGATCACACATTAATAACACTTCTATATAAAATATTTTACAAACAAAAATTCACATAGTCTCTACAAATTCAAATACTTTAAAAATCCATTCTCTTTAAAAATCCAAAGTCTCTTTTAAAACCTAAAAATCACTTTTAAGAATTCAGTCTCTTGGCTGGGCTTTGGTGGCACACATCTTTAGTCCCAGCACTCGGGAGGCAGAGGCAGGTGGATCTCTGTGAGTTCGAGGCCAGCCTGGTCTACAGAGAAAGGTCCATGACAGCCTCCAAAACAATACAGAAAAACCCTGTCTCAAAACACCAAAAAAAAAAAAAAAAAAGAATTCAATCTCTCAAGTGTGGGTTCCTATAAAATAAAAAATAAATACTTTATCACTTCACACTTCAAGAGGGAAGTACCAAGTCATGATCAGATTAAAACAATGTCCAATATTTGGGAATCACAATCTTCTGGGCTCCTCCAAAGAACTTGGTCACTTCTCTGGCTCCACACTCTGCAGCACACACAGCTTGTCTTCTAGACCAGGCCAGCTCCACCCCACAGCTTCATCCTACGGAACTGGCATCTCCAAAATGCTGGGGTCTTCTACTGCAACTGGGCTACAATTTCACCAATAGCCCCTCCTAGGCTTTCTTCATGATTCAGTCTCAGTTGCTCTCCATGACCTCTTCTAAAACAGTATCACCTGGATGTCTCTTATATGTGGAGGCACTGGTAAAGATTCATAGAGTATGTTTAAATACAGATTAAATATAATTTATTTTGGGGGAGAAGTTAATTACACAAGAAGCAGATGGCTGCCACAGGTTCCCATTCTAAGGATCCCCATGGGCCTCTCCGTGACCTGATCAGATGCAAGAGAGAGCCACCTATCCGGACTTTAGACCTAAGCCAATCCTTGTTTAACCTCCTCACCTGTGACCACCCCCATATGTATATCTTACTAGTACACTTAATATTACCAAGTTCAACTGCAAGCACAAGGTACAACCTTGGCTACTTCTGGAACATAGATTCTGCATGCTGACTCTTGGAAAATTTCACTTCAGAGATGCTGGTCTTTTCTTAATCACTGTTAATTTCTCAGCTCCAGGTTATCAGCATCAATTGTCCCAGTAAAGCAAAGGTTTCACCTCAATAGTGCCAGTCTCTTATTAAATTACCACTGACTCTTAAGCCTCAGCTGCCCAGAAACTAAAGATTCTTCAAACATGACCATGTAGAGTCTTTGCTTCCCCTCTAAGACTTAATGCCAGGCCTCCATCATCTGCACTGCTCTAAACAATTCTTATTTTCCAAGCTCCTACAGAACAGCCCACTGAGCTCTCAACACTCAATAGTTTTCTAGTTCCAAAGTCCTTCCACAGCCCTCCCCAAAACACATGGTCAGGTCTCTCACAGCAATACCCTACTTGTAGTACCAAGTTCTTTCTTAATTAGGGTTACTATTGCTGTGAAATATCCAGCGTAAATGCCAACCCAAGTGACCTATTTCCTCCAACAAGGTACATCTGTCCCTAATGGTGCCATCAAGTCATGAATTAATCAGTGGGTTGACCCTTCGATTTTATCAGAGCTCTCATTATCTAATCACCTCTCATGGTTGGATCCACCAGCTGGGGACCATACCTGAAGCACATGAGCCTTTGGGGAGAGTCTGAACCACTAGACTGTAAGAGATGTATTCTCATCTGGCTCTCCTCACTTCCAGTCCAGTCTTTGCCAACCCCAACCACTGTAAGGTGGTCCCAGTGAAGAACCAGCATCTTTATTCAAACTCTCAGTGTCCTTGCCTGACTTTCCTGCTGTTCCCTTCAAGATACTTGTCTAAGAAGTTGAGAGTATCTTCTGCCACAGAGGAGAAAAGGGAGAAAGCCTAAATCTAGGCTTAAGGATTTGAGCAGCCTTCTTGGAATCCAAGCTCTGAAACAACCCTGGTTAGGTCATCAGAAACAGCCCATTTGGCTTTCCAAACTCCTGACAGCACTGCCCAAACCTCTCAACCATCTTGCTGCCTGACCCCCTCTTCAGGTCCTTCTCTCTCTCTCTCTCTCTCTCTCTCTCTCTCTCTCTCTCTCTCTCTCTCTCTCTCTCTCTGTCCCTCCCTCCCTCCATCTATCTATCTCCTGTCTCTCTGTGTATCTCAGTCTCTGTCTCCCCCTCTTAGCAAGATAAGATGTCCTAGAAGATCTGTGCTGGCTGGTATACCTGCCCCTCAACTGCTGTGAGAGATGTCAGTAGCTACCTTGTCACTGATTGTGACCTCAGAGGCTTCTGACCTTGCAATAGGCCTGTGGGCCCTGTTGGCCCTACATCATGGGGTAATGGCTCCCTGGGTGTCCTGACACCCAGAACCATGGCCATTGTCAACCCCTGGGGTGTCACTTAAGCCTGTGCACCAATGTGAAGCTCTGCTGGTTTGCTTGCTCCCAGAATACCCTGGACCTGGGCTTCCCATCTGACCAAGGCTTCTGAGTGTGGCAGTAGAGTCCAGCTGTGGGACCACAACAGTGCTCCTGCTTGCAACTTCCTGGGCAGGAGCAGTTTGGGGGCTTTGTGATCCAAGCCCTAATCCTGTCAACTGAAGATTTAAGCTAGGCTGTCTTGGTGAGCTCCAGTAGCCTGTGGGGATAGCGCCATGCCAGTTAGTGAAGTTACAGTTACTGCTGTAAGATGGCAGTAGAGATGCCTGGAATGGGTGTCATGAAGTCAAAAGGTTCCCTGGACTCTACAGTGGTCCCAACCCCAGAGAGAAGCAGCTGCTGACAGGGCCATCCTACAAATGGATGGCAAGCGGCTGGGAGACTCCTGCCACCTACTTGGTCATTCAGGATTGTTTGAGCTATTCTAGAAGACCAGCATTCCTATTTTTCTGGAGTGGATGTAAGCAAAGCAGCTCCCTTGCTGTTGTTCTTTCTTCCCTTCCCATGAAAAACAAGGCAATAGCAATGGTCTCCATCAGTGGGGAAGTCAAATAAACTCGCCAGGTACCACTCATCACCTCCTACTCTTGCCTCTGCTCTGGCAGTGTCCTCTTGTTTTCTAGCCATGGCTGAGAAGGACATAGCCTGACTCGCTCTGTGATGGAATCAAGAGGCCCCAAGAAGCCTCGCCGACATAAGAAACGCAAAATCAAGACCCTGGAGAGACTTCTTAAGAAGTTTCCTTACAGGTACAAGATGCCTAGACACCTTGGGCTGAGTCCTGTTACCACCTCCATATTGTTCCTAGGCCCGGGAAGCTGGAATGTTCTGAGGCACTGGAGATGGGAGGAGAACCTCTAGTCCAAGGGGCCCCTCAGGAACACTGTGCTGTGGCCAGTGAGGAGCACTGCGCTGTGGCCAGTGAGGAGCACTGCGCTGTGGCCAGTGAGGAGCACTGCGCTGTGGCCAGTGAGGAGCACTGCGCTGTGGCCAGTGATTAGTTCTCCCTTCTTCACCTGCTGTCCAAGGCCAGGGAAGCCAAGGGGTGGAACAAAGGCTTTGTAAAGCGTGAGGCCAGACACAGGAAGACCAGGTGTGACTCCTCTGGGCAGTTGGCTGCAGGCACTTAACCACCCAAGGGCCCTTCTAGGTTAGGTTGGTTGACAGAGCCTGACCAAGAACCCCTACAGTCCTGGAAGACCAAGAGCAACTCAGTGAAGGATCAGCTGCCCTTACAGAAGAAGCTGGTGCCAACCCGGTCTATTCCGCCCCCAGGGTAAGTCCCTGTACTTGACTGATACTCATGGTCACACACAGACAAATGTGTCTCATTGACATCACCCTACCCTATACACGGAAACCTCAGTCACCTTCGGGCAGGTCCTCTCAGCAGACATGTGACTATAGTGCTCCATCCTAAACCACCAGGCTACAAGTGCTGCCTGTACACAGGCATGGTGGATAAGATGCTCCATCCTGAGGGACTCCAGGGCCAAGTGGCAAAGGGTACCCTGACACCCCACCCCCACCCCAATCACTCGGTCTAGCCACTGTGGGAAATTAGTTTTCCCCCCAGCGGGAGGAGCAGCCAGGGCTCTGGATCTAGGAAACGGATATGGGGGCTATGCAGCCCACCACATTGGAACAGAAGAGTGGGGTGCATGTGGAGAAACCCCAAGCCCAGTGATGCCCTCTAGCTCTAAACCCTTGCCTGCTTCTTGCCAGTTGTGGGACCCAAGGCACAGAGAAAGGAGAAGGAGCAGGGTGAAAAGGGAACAGGGCCCTTGAAGGAGAAGCCCCGTGTAGGGGACTGCACTTGTAGGTACCGTAAGGGGGAAGAGAGCAGGGACCCACCCAGTGCACTTGTGAAGGCAGCCTCAGGCCAGGAGGTAAGAGCAGCCAGTCACAGGTGGGAGGGGCCAGTCTCAGACTGAGGACAGTCTCAGGTAGTTGTAACCACAGAAGAAAAATGAGCATGACTCAGCTGAGCCTATCAACCAACATAGCTCCCTCAGTGCATGGGCAGGGCCAGGGCATACCCTGAGGTCCAAGAAGCACTTGGAATCTGCTGTGTCTAACTTGGATTTCCAAGGCTGGAGGAGCAGGTGGCAGGAGGAGGGCATGGGCCACTCCTGGTGCCTCTTTGGCAGCCATTGGCTACAGAGGCTGCATGTGGGACAGGCCTGGCTGGAGACATCCTTCAAGAACCTTCCCACACATGGCCCTGTCTGCCCTGACGGGTTGGAACCTGCAGGGTTCCCTGGGTCATGTGTGGTTCTGTGTGGCTTCTCTAGGGTCGGAACTTCGGACTTTACATCACAGCCTCCACGTCCCCCACTGTGTAACCACTGGGAACTTAAATTACTGAACCACCGTTTCCCTAGACGAGACCTTGACAAGCTGCCTTCTCCAAAGGCCAGTGCTGACAAGCCCTACACCAGCGAGGCTTCCGGGCCGTCTGAGAGTGTTGTCTAGAACATCCACTCTTCATGGCCCCTTTCTCGGCCACCGTCTCTCTGCTCCAGGCAGCTGCCACAGAAACATTTGTAAAGGGGAGCAGCCTCCTCAGCCACCTAAAGCCCCCACATCCCAAGACCATACAGCAGCAATAAACTTTGCAGGTTCAAATCCCATTTCTGCTTGGACTGGTCAATTTGCCTCTAGTTTCTCATTCTTAAAATGGGTATATTTAGTCACATTGCAAATAACACTTCTAGAATTTATCCAGATACATGTGCATGTTAGCATGTTAGCTAAGCTAATGGCAGTCATTCTAGTAGTTGGAAATAGCAAGAGTAAGAAGTCAAGTGAACACCTGCTAGTAGACATTGCAGATGCTTACAGCTGCACCTGCAACCTTAGGTAGCCATTAAAAGAAAGAAGCAACTACGTATTGATCTCAAAAGCTCTATAAAGGATAGAAATATTCTTAAATTATAGAAGTATCTGAGAAACTGTCATGTGTATATTAAAATGTGTGTCTGCATATGAGTGTGTGTTGCCTGCAAGGGGACATGATGGCATGTGAGGGGACATCTAGATGGCACATAATAGTCGGCGCCTCGTTAGAGGGCATGTGTGTAACCATCATCTGCAGGTCCAAGCACTGAAGAGGTAGCAGGAGCACAACACCCCCTGTGACACACCTGGGAGTGTGGCGTTGTGGTCAGGTGCCAGCTTCAGCAAAACGGTTCCATCAGGGGCTCCGCGGGAGCTGAGCTGGGAACCAAGGTGAGTGATAGAGACAGGTGTGAACAGCTGAGCAGCCAGTGAACTGTTACAGTGTGAGGGCCAGGATCTGCCTAGCAGAGAGGGTGGGTGATGGCTGGCATGAGTGCAGGACCCAGCCTCTCACTCCACAGATTGATTGGAAGGGCAGAGCTATTGTGATGTGTTGCTGGGAAAGACACCAGGCCCTGGGCTCTCCGTGTTCCTCCAGTGAGGAGAAGGGCAGGCTTGGGACAAGGATTCATACAGCCATCAGCAGCAGTGGCAGTTCCTTTCAAGATCGTAGAAGCGAGGGCCTGCACAGGCCTATGGCTGCTCACAGACAGGCTCTGAAGGCCTCAGGCGGGTTCCTGTGAGGGAGAGCCCAGTTCAAACAAAGGCCAGGGTGAGTGACGGAGGAGGCAGACCCCAGGCCCCCTCTGCACCCCACAGTCTGACTTCGCCTGCTCAGACAACTGCCTGGGGTCCTTCTTTACCTAGACCGAATTCTGGGTGGATGAGGAGAAACTCCGCAGTGCTGGCAGTCCCACCCCGTGAGAGCCTGAGGCCCAGAGCTGGACAGGCACAGCCAAGCCTGCAGCTCAGATCCTGCGAGCCAGGGCTGTAGAAACCAGAGACTAGGGGCTCCACATGCTCAGGCTGGGAGACTGTTTCCTTAACCAGTAGCCCACCCCTAGGCAGTTGTTGCCACCCTGAGCTTCTGGCAACAGTGGACAAACAGCACCAGCAGTAGGCAGCAGCTAGAGGGCAGCATAGAGCAGGGCAGCATAGAGCAGGCAGCAGATAGAGGGCAGCATAGAGCAGGCAGCAGATAGAGGGCAGCATAGAGCAGGCAGCGGATAGAGGGCAGCATAGAGCAGGCAGCGGATAGAGGGCAGCATAGAGCAGGCAGCAGGCAGTGTCACAGCTTCTTGACAGGCATTTGCTTCTACCGTAAGTGAGCCGCGCCCCCACAGCCAGTTTTCTTCAGCCACAGCTCTTGATCCTCTCTCTGCCGTCCCTTGTCTCCTCTCCACCATTTGTGCTCCCATTGGTTATTCTTGCCTGCTCTCTAATCCCAGTCGCCCCCTTGCTGTGGGCTGCTGTGGACGTGAGCCAGGTTCATGACCTCTTTCCACTGATCTGCCTGCCGCCTTGCACGCTTGTGCCGCTCAGCAGCAGAAGAAACTGAGGTCAGAAACACAGTGAGTTGCCCAAGATCTGGCAGGCAAATGGCCCAACGAGGCAGAAAAAGTCCCCAAAGTGAAAACGTAGTAAAACGTATTTATTTAAAAGACATGACCCAACCCTGCCACCATGTTGCATGCTGGCGTCTGAAGACACAGGGGAAGATCTGGAATTTTGTAACGCGATCAAAGGTAGACCAGCCAGGTAGAGGCGGAATGGCGACTACTCTACCATCCTGTGACTGCCAAGGTGGCAGGCAGCTCCCACTGACAGGGACAGCCACACTTTCCAAGACTGGCCAGGGCATGTCTTCTCTGGCTATGCCTGCCCTTGCTAGCCTGAGTGAAGAGAAGACGACATTAAACCAAACCCTGGTATTGTCTTGTAGCACCATGGACAGGCTCCGCGGAGACGTGACGGGGAATGGTCTCTCACAACCACACCACCGCCAAAAACAAAAACACAAAAAACCAACCAACGAACCAAACAAAAAACAAACAAAAAAACCAACAAAAAACCGGGGTCCTGGAGAGAAGCCTGCCACCTGCAGCAGAAGAGACGCTGCCAAAGGCAGAAAGGGCCAGAACCATATCTGAGGCAAGTTGTGCTCAACCCAGGTGGTATGAGTGTGACCTGCTCCCAGGATCTTGGTCAGGCCCGCTGGGTAAGGTAGGAGAATGGTCCTCCAATCCACACTATCGAGTTCATTCCAGACCTCCTGGCGGCCTCTTGGTCACAGCAGTCACAGGCCTTCTCAACACGCACTGCCCCTAATGCAGCCGCAGGTAGGAGGGGGCAGAGTAGTTAAAGAGCAGAAAGTCCATCTTATAGAGGTCAAAGAGGCGGCGCTGGTAGAAGGGGCTGATGTCCTGGAAGAGGCGCCGGGCCTGGTCACGAGTGGGGTCCTTCTCTGGCCTCCGTGGTGGAGCGGGGAAGCGTAGGCCAGCCTCACCCACCAGGTCCAGCACAAAGGCTGCGTCATCAGCCAGAGTCTCGAACTTGCCCACCACGTCATAGCGCACTAGACACGGGTGGCACAGTGCGTGCGCGCGCTCCCAGTGTTCGTTGAAGGGCTCATGGCGGCGCGTGCGCGGGTCGAGCAGGTAGGCCAGGAACTCGGCAAAGCGCACGTCGTGGCCACGGGCCAGCGCGTCGGGCTGCGCGTGTGGTCGTAGGCGGCGCACGATGCGCGTGCCATAGCGCCGCTGGAAGGCCGCGCTGTGCGGCCGCGCCAGCTTGTTGCGGTAGGCGGAGGCCAGGCGCTCGAAGGGCTCGCGCACGAAGAGAAAGGCCAGGTAGTCGCGCAGCCTTCGGTTGACCTCAGCTGGTGTAAAGTCAGCCAGGGAGGGCAGCAGGCCAGGCGCATGTGCCTCGTGCGCGGGGATTGAGCCCGGGTCCCCACGGCCACGCAGCGCCAGGAGCACGCGCTTCCAATTGGTGCAGGCCACCTTGGGCACGTAGCAGTACAGCAGCCGGTGTGCGTCGTCCACCAGCACGTGCCGCAGGTCCTCCGGCTGCAGCAGGCGCTGGCGTCGTGTGTGGCGGCTGCAGGCCCGGTGTAGCAGCTCGCGCCGCTGCTGGTGTACCTCGGCCATCGCGGAGTGCCCACCCTGGAGGCAACAAGGGATGGAGGCAGACAGGGTGGGGATTCAGAGTGCAGCGGGCTCCAGGCCAAGGCCGCACAGATGCCATGCTCCCTGGGAGTCAGGCAAGGGATTCCCCCCACTGGAAACCGGAACCCCAGGGGTGTTACCAGCTCTGCATGGTCTGGGGTCAGAATCTGCCCTGGAATTGGAGGAAATAGAGTCTAACTATTGAGGATGTGAAGACCTGCGTGTGCTGGGCACTGTGTGTACACTAGGATTGCCGAGAATGAGCCTTTACGGGACTGGGTAAACAGAATAAAGAAGGATGGCCAAGAGTGTACAGCATGTAACTGCAGGCACACACAGACCCTCTGCCCTCTACTGTGGATTTAATTCCTGCTGCCTTACTACGTCCTCCCCACTTCACCCACTCAGGGGAGGACAACAGCAAGGCTAGCCTTGAAGTATAGCCCTCCCTTGGCAGCAGCCATTCAGCTACTTGTAGGATATGGGCTTTGTGTGTGTGGTGGTTAAATGGGCTTCTGATTCTGCATTAATGAATGAACATATTTCTTTGGACCTCGATTTATTTATTTTTTCCCCAGCAAAGTTTTTCCTTTTATATGTATGGGTATTTTGTATTTATGTACATTGGTGTGTCATGTGCATGCAGTGCCCAAAGAGGCCAGAAGAGGGCATCAGATCCCCTGGAACTGGAACTACAATTGGGAATGAGCCATCATGTGGATGCTAGGAATCGAACCTGGGTTCGCTACAAGGACAGTGAGTGCTCTTAACACTGAACCATCACTCCAGCCCACCACCAGCAAATGTTGCTCTCAGTGCTCTGTCAGGAACCTTGACCTTTTCCTTATCTGTCTTTGCTCTGGGGGAAAGGGCACCAGTCACTAGCATTTACTTAGCACTTCCTGTATTCCATCCACAGTGCAGCACCATGAATTAGGTCCTATTCAGAGGACCAAGGGTGTGGTCCACTTAGCCTGCCTGGGTCATGCACAGACCCAAGCTGTGCTTACAGAGTATCCCTTCAAATTTATTTTTCAGTAGGATCCTCATCCCTTAAGACTAGCCCCTACCACCATTCCACCTCCATCGGTTTTGAGACAGGCGGGTAGCCACTAGTAATATATTGAAGTTACTCTTAGTGTTGATAACTGTGCCATCCTTCTGCTGTTCATTTTTCTGCAAATAATCAAAAGTCTTGGGGAATGAATAGTTTGAGTCCCTAATTAACAGCTGCTAGACTTTCCCTGGATCTCCTGACTAAAAGGATGGCATTAAAATAGCCAAACTCCCCGTATGCCAGCACAAGCCATCTTGAACACTTACAGACACCTTGAGAAAACTGTACAAAGATCACAGCTGCCTCCCCTAGCTCCTGAAGGCAAGGGGGTGAAACGTGTCTTCCATCTGTTGTTATTACAAGGCTTGATGAGCTCTAGAAAACTCTGCAACCATTTCTGCCAGGGTCAGAGGGAGAGCAGGTGTCTGTCCTTGTCATCTGTCCCTCTACTCCTCTGTCCTGCCAGCAGAAGAACTGCTGTAACTGGTCTAAGACACAGGTCTGTGATTGGCCCAGATACAAACCTCCATGTCTGGGATGGGTAATAAAGAAACAAATGCTGTGTTTGGTACCAGTGTCCCTTCATGTTCTGTGTGGACAGAGTGCTCAGACTGCTTGCCTGTGAGGTCCTCTGCACTGTTCTGGGTACTGCAGCATCAGGCCCTTCTCTGGAAGTTCTTCACTTGCCTATTTTCTGTCGTGCAGGCTGAGATGGTGGCAGGCCGGAGAGCCAGCAAAAGAAGATCACTGCCGCCTCAGCCTGTGCTGAGGGAGGGGCAGGCAGCCAGCTGTCTGGCAGCTGCACAGTCACAGAATGGCCAGAACAGGCAAAGACCACAGAGGGATAGAGGGCTTAAAGAGTCAGAGAATGGGAAAGTGCATGCCCTGCTTCCTGGAAAATTCTAGAATGCTGCCAGGTGTTTAGGGTCAAGAGTCTCAAATGCAGGCCCAAGCACTGTGGTGTTGGCTCATGTAAAGTGTTTGGGAACCCTGACTTTCTGCACTGACATAGGAGCAGCAGCATTAGTAGGACTAAAGTTCCTGATATCCCAGGTTTGAGTAAGTGCTGTAACACCATATGGCACTATTTATCACTGTTCCCACCTGCCTATCCATAGCTCAAAGCTGCCAAACAACTAAAACATATGCACATAAAACTTGTACATGTATGTTCATAGCTGCATTATTCCTATTGGCAAAAAATGTGGAAACATCTTAAATGTCCATTATCTGACAAATATAGTATAGCATATGGCATATCCATAACAATATTATTTGCCATTAAATGGAATGGAAGTTTGACAAATGCCACAACACAGACAAGCCTTGAAAGCAAGCTGGGTGAAAGAAGCCAGGCATAAAAGCCCAACTATTGTATGGTTCTCTCTGTCTCTGTCTCTGTCTGTCTCTCTGTCTCTGTCTCTCTCTGTCTCTGTCTGTCTCTCTGTCTCTCTGTCTCTGTCTCTCTGTCTCTGTCTGTCTGTCTGTCTGTCTGTCTGTCTGTCTGTCTCTCTCTCTCTCTCTCTCTCTGACACAGGGTAGCCCTGGCTGTCCTGGAACTTGCAGTGTAGATCAAGCTGGCCTTGAACTCACAGTTATCCTCCTGCCTCCTCTTTCCAAGTGTTGTGACTAACAGCACAGTCATATGATTCCTTTTGAATGGATGATCAGAACAGGTAAATCTACAAACAGGAAGTGGATTAGTGGTTGTCAGGAGCTAGAAGAGACGGAAGAGGAATGACCACAATATAATCATAGTCTCTCAGGTTACAAATGTTCTGGAATTATACAGTGGTGAGGTCACATGTAAAATATGAAAACCACTGAATCAGCCATTTGAAAAGAGTGAATTTATGCTGAGTTATTTCTCAGAAAGTTAAAGACCTTAGCAATATTTCCAGCTCAGGGGCCACAGTAGAGGAAGAAATGGTAGAGCCTCAGCTTTGGGCATGAGATCATGGATGCTGGTGGTATGGAAGTATGTGGGTGTGTGCCCACATGAACATATGTGTTTCTGGGGCTTTTAAAAGTATTCTGCAGAGGTCCATGATTCATTAAGTGCCCTGACCGTTGTGTTTTATGGGGGAGGGAAGAAAACAAAGTGTTTCAGAAAGGATGGGTGGAGGGCACTTTTTCTTTTCCTGTAAGTGCTGACAGTCCCAGAATCCACAGGCTGGGAGGGGCTTTGGAGTAAGAGGGAGGGAGTTGGTGATGTAATGTGGGGGTTATGTGTCAGTCACCCTACTGTGTTAATTCCAAAGGAGAGCTAAAGCAGGGAAGTAGACAAGCAGAGACACACAACTTGAATTCCAGAAAGTAGCATTTTGGAAGAGTTAAAATGCACTGTTGTGGGTATTTGTACACTGTGTGAAGATGGTGTAATAAGCTGAATGGCCAATAGCTAGGCAAGAGGTACAGGACTTCCGGGCAGAGAGAAAGGAAGAGGAGGAATCTATGTATGTAGGAGACACCGGGAGACAAAAAAAAGTGCAAGGTGGAAAAGAGGTAACATCATGTGATAGAACATAGATTAATTTAAGTTATAAGAGCTAGTTAGGAACTAACTGAGCCTTCATAATTAATATGAAGTCCCTGTGACATTATTTGGGAGCTGTCTGGAAGGGCAGAAAAAGACTCCTGAATAGGAATTGGCCATTCAGCTTTTTTATTAGACCAATCAGGTGAAGGATAGTCAGGGATGTTGGGCAGAGAGAATAGATAAGAGAGAGAGGAGGAATGAGAGAGAAGGAGGAGAGAATGAGGCACAAGCCCTGGGCAAGAAGCCAGGCAGCCTCCATCCAGCTAGACAGGAGAAGCAGTGAAAGTAAGATACACAGGAAGTAAGAAAAGGTAATAAGCCCTGAGCAAAAGGTAGATAAAGAGAAAGCGGTTCATTTAAGTTAAAAGATTAGTCAGAAATGAGCCTAAGCTAGACTGAGCATTCAAAACTATTAAGTCCCTGTGCCATGATTTGGGAGCTGGTTGGTGGGTACAAGAATGGCTGCATACAGTAGGTGCTAATACATGCTGTCTGTTTGTTTGGCTGAGCCAGGTATAGGGTCTCCTAGTAGTATTCAGGCAGTCATACTTGTATGATTTTAGTTTTTAAAACAACAATTTTATGATGGTGGCATTCAGAAAGAGCTGCTGCTAGATTTGAACGTAGATTTTATCCTGGGCTGGAGTGACACTTTGTATAGATCGCTCCCTGTAGGAGGAGAGGATAGTGAGTCTAACCCACACACACACCATCACTAGGGGAGCAGCTACATCTGCAGTGTCCTGTATGGCCATCTGTCTGAGCATCAAGGATCTCAGATTTTAGGAGCATTTTGATTTAGCAATATTTAAGCAGGCTGGGTTCCTTGAGAGCTAACCCCACCCCAAGTCATGGAGTGCTTGTGCTGTTGGGTATGTGAGAGCGTATCTGAGGCTGTGTGGGTCCCAGTGGGGCCACTTGCTCCGTCTGCCTGGAGATGATTAGGTGTGTGTGTGTGTCGGGGGGGGGTCCTCTGAACATTCCTTTGTTGTGCCACATACTAAAATTTGGGAACTTAACGGCCATCTTCTTGAACTCCTGGGACAGGCATAGTTTAATGACCATCTGTTTGCTGGTCCCCTGGGACAAGCATGGGTTAATGACCATCAGTTCACCACTGGTCCCCTAGGACAGACCTGGGGCTGTTTTTCTTCCCTGTGTCTGCAATACATAGCACAGAACAAGCACAGGCCTCGGCTGTGGTGGGAGGGATGATGAGCAGGGAAAACTGGACTTCCAGGCTACACAGGAAGCCCCGTTGCCCATACTGGACAGAGCTATGACAGAGGATATGCAGGAGACTGTGACTTCCTATCCAGGATGTAAGAGGGTATCCCAGCCACTTACCTGGTCCAGGGCATGCAACAACTGTAGAGGACTCTTCCTCACTCCTCCAAACCAGCTAGAGGCCAGGGCTTTGTTTTCAAATGCTGAAGGCCAACAAGGAGAGAGAGAGATCACTGCCAGCTTTGGCTAAGGTGTGTTTGATCACACACCTTATCCCTAGGGCACAGTTAACCCACTTGTGTGACTTATTTTTCTCCTGTATCTTCTCTTCCTCCTGGGGATTGGTAAGGAGTGAGCACTGCTAGGGCAGTGTCCTTGGCTCATTCCCACCCTCATGCCCTATCCTCCACCATTGGAGAGTAGCAAGTACAGGGGACAAGAGGAAAGGAGCCTGCCTGCCCTCTGGGAAGAGCACCCAGCCCCATCCAATTCTACTCCCCTGTCTCAATGCCACCCCCACCCATCTCCAGCCACTTCTGCTGAGTCCTGGGGGCTCACACGTCTGATGGCTGTCCAGTCCCTAGATCTGGATTATGAATATCCAGAAAGGCCGGGTGGTGGCACGGCCAGGCTGCAGACTGCTAGAGTGAGGGCACCAGGCTATATGAGGCCCACAAAAGCCCCTAGAAGTATGTGCATGTCCCCAGGTATGGATGCTACTCCTGATGAATGCAACTTTACCTGTTTCCAGAACTGGACAGGGACACTCTATGTTTTTATCTTGCATTCTTCACTGTACTTAAGACTACAGGGCTGTCTGGACATCCCAGGTTTTGTGTGTGTGTGTGTGTGTGTGTGTGTGTGTGTGTGTGTGTGTGTGTGTGTGTGTGTGTGTATGTGTACCTATTAAAGGGAGCCACTTGGGCCAGGGCTCATGTAGGAAGCCTGTTTTGAGGATGCCCATGAACCCAGCCCTTGAACTTTTCCAGACTCTACCCAGGGAAGGATCTCTGATCCTGCTGCCTTTTTGGTAGAACAGCACCTTCACTGGAGAATGAGCTGCCAGGGTAGGCGGGCACCGCTAATTATAAGCTGTTGCTAAATCCAGCAACCGGCTTCAGGAGTCTGAGCAGGGTTGCAACATGCCAGAGTGACATCTCTCAACACTTGGGGAGAATAGTGTCCTTCCTGCCATCCTTCAGGTTAGATGTGCCACTCTAGGCCACCTAGTGAAGGGGTCTTCTTAGAGCCTCAGCAAGCGACTGAGGGACTTGTTCCCTCTAGGTCTGTGGGCAGAGTAGGGAGAGTAGCCTGGAGGTACCACATCATAGCCATCTGACCCACAGCCCTCTTTGGAGGTTTCTGTTCTTCCAGAAGCCACTCCTTGCCCAAGGCCTTCCATTTCCTGGCCAGACCACAGCTGTCTAAGAGTGGGTCCCACAACAGATGCCAAAGGCCTGTGGGTGGAGGACAGGCACCAGGGGTTCCCAGAATAGCTGTGGTCACAGATTACAGGGCCAGGCTATCTCAACCCTTCCAAAGAAGAGCCTAGGGCTCCATGCCTGACAAGGACAGGCTGGCTATAGAGGGATAGTGTGGCTGTGGCTGTGGCTGTGGCTGTGGGTGTGGGTGTGGGTGTGGATGTGTGTGCATGTGTGCACGAGTGTGCGTGTTTGTACACACACACACACACATAAACACACACACAACACCCAAGTTGATCAGAAGGGGTTGCCCTTATAGTCCATGGGTCCAGCCCACTTAAGGACCATTGAGGCTTGCTCCAAATAGGGCAACACTGGAGGCCTGGAACCTTCACCCCTACCCAGCCTTGCTTAACCTGCTCCCAGCTGTGCTCCCTCCCCTTCCCAAGACACACAGAATGGAATGGAGAGGAGGCAGCAGGTTTGTATGTCCAGGGAGAGGCCTCAGCAGAACTAAGACTACTCCTAACCCCAATTAGCAAGGAGGTTAACAACGACCCTGCCTTAAAGAGGCGAAGGGAAAGAAGAGGAAGGACTGGAGTGGCAACAGAAGATAGATGGGGAAGCCTTGGACTGCAGCTGGGAGAAAGCCTGGATACAGAGAGCCTGGGAGCAGTGATACTTTGGGAGGAGACCAGAGCAGACCTGTGGGATGAGAAACAGGCCTGCGCCAAGCAGAAACATGCTGACTGTCTAGACAGGCTGCCTCCCTCAGCTCAGGACACCAGTGTGAGGCCCACCAGAACTTTTGGTACCCAGCCTTGGGTGAACTTCAAGCCCCTGAAGGGTGGAAATTCTGGAGAAAGTGCCGTAGGCTACAGCAGAGAGCTTTGTGCAGGATGCTATCTCTGCACAAAGGTGGGGCCCTTGATCCTGGGCAGGTGACACAGGACACTGTGTAACTGTGCTATGTGGAACTCACCTGTGTTGTCCTGTCAGGTGGAAACTGTTACTTTCCCACTTATTAGATGGGGAAACCGACAGTCACAAGGCCAAAACCTTAAGGCTACTGGTTCCAAAGACACCTCAGGTTCCAGTGTCTGCACTGCTAAGGCCCAGGCTTCTGCTTGTCAGGCTCCTGCTCATCCTGCACACACCATAGGGGGTCCCCAAGCTCTGCTTTATTGAGGAGGAAGTGCCCACCATGATGGGGAGGAACAAGGCACACCAGGTCACAGGGTGAAATACAGCAGAACACACCCTTGCAGGAACCGGTGGGCTGAAACATCACAGAAAACTCCAGGAAAGCTGGCCCCAGTCCTCAGCCCCCACTTCCAGCAGGAAGCCCCAGGCCCCAGACAAGGCAGGGCAGATTGCTTTGGGGGATGGGAGTGAGGTGGGGGTGAGTCCAGTCCAGGGCACATTGCAACAGCCACATTCTGGTTAATAAGTTCTCTGCTCTGTTGCAAGACAAACCAACATAAGCACCAGCTGGGGCTAAGTCAGAGCCTCAGGTCTGCTTACCCCACTTAGACCCCCCCAGTGCTTTCAGGGAGCCCTGCGATCCAGTATCAGGGGTGTTCTTTCCTGTGATTGTCCTGAAGGGAGAGTGGACACATTAGACAAGTTCTTCACAGAAAGATAGGTCATTCTGCCTCTTTCCAGTCCTACTTAAGCTCTAGTCACTGACTTTTACAAGCCGGATGCTGTGAGGAAATTCCTATCTGACCAGCCATCGCCAGGTCCACATTGGCTCTGAACTGGTAGCCCTCATGGCTCCCATCCCTTCCCACAGGCAATAGGAAACTATCTCACTAACCTACTGCTTAGCCCAGTGGGTCATCTCAGAATCCATCCCACAGCCCCACTTTGTGGTGCAGCTACTTAGAAGGCTGAGGCAGGAGGATCATAAATTTGAGTACAGTTTAGACTACTCATCTATCCTAGACAAATATTCGAACCCTGACTCAAAAAGTTAAAATTGAAGAGGGGCTGGGAAGCTAAAGTAAAGGCCCATGACATTTGCCTAGCATGAAGGAAGCCCATTTCAGTCCCCAGTGCTGGGCCTGAGGCACGGGCAACTCTTGCTACTGGTTTGCCTCACATCAGAGTCCAGATCCTGTTCAGGGTAGAAGCCTCTGGCTGACCATGTTTCCACAGAATGTAGCAGACACATCTGCAGTCACTGTTCTGGATAACTTCATGTCAAGTTGACACAGGCTAAAGTCATTTGGGAGGAGGAAATCTCAATTAAGAAAATGTCCCTACCAGATGGGCCCATGATGCATTTTCAAATGATGTCAAAGGACCCAGCTCACCCCTGGCTGGTGTCCCTGGGTGCTATAAGAAAGCAGGCTGAGCGAGCAGTGCTCCTCTATGGCCTCTGCCTTGAGTTCCTTTAATGATGGATTGTGTCGTAGAAGTGTAAGTGAAATAAACTCTCTTATGGTCATGGTGTTTATCACATCAACATACACCTTAACAAAAGCCCAGTCTAAGTCAGCCTCCTTTTAATTTGTTCACAGTGCTTGCTACTGATGGAGTCATTTGACCTGGTGTGGGGGTTACCCTCTGGAAGTCAGTTCTGTAAGGGAACTGTGATGTTTTCCTCGCCCAGTGTCAATGAGTAAAGACTGGAGAATATCTCAGCTCCTAACCTGCCACCACTTTTCAGAACCCTATGCACCAGCCCAGCACTGCACACCATGCACAGGCCTTCTGCTCCTCCAATGGACGTGTCCACATAGATTCAAACCCCACTCTTAGTACTTATTGCTGTCCTAACTTGCTTTTAGTTGCTGTGATAAAGCACCAGGACCAAAAGCAACTTGGGGAGGAAAGGGTTTGTTTATTTTGTCACAAATCATTCTCCATCACTGAGGGAAGTCACTCAAACATGAACCTATAGTCAGGGAATAAAGGAGATACCATGGAGAAACAGCTTACTGACTTGCTCCCCATGGTCTGCTTGGCATACTTTTTTGTACAACCAGATCAACCTGCCCAGGGGTGAAACTGCTCAGAGTGCCTTGGGCCTTCCTATATCAACCATTAATCAAGAAAATGGCCCTATAGGCTAGTCTGATGGAAGAATTTTCTCAACTGGGATTTCTCTCTTCCTAGATGAACCTTAGCTGTGTCAAGTTGACAAAAAACTAACCAGTTTATTCAGTTTCCCATCTAATCAACTTCTATGTTTCTTTTAGTCTACTCCAAATATCTTTGCTTTGTAAAGTGGAAAGAATAAACCCAAATCACCATCCCAGGCAAGGATGACAGAGGAGCAAAGCCATATGAACATCCTTAGAGTTGTAATGACCCAGTCACAGAAACCTATGGAGATGATGGTGTACTGGGCAGCTGTCCTATCTCCCCCAGTGGACCCCCTCCCTTGATTCTGAGCTCTAGGACTCAAATCCTGTCCCCACAACTCTTGGCTTAAGAAAGCTGCTTCTTTCCCCTTGATCACAATTGCACCCCTGCTCCTACTTGAGTCGACTGACCTATCAGAGAGCAATTCCCCAGGAGTCTCCTGAGCTCTGGACTCCAATTGGACCTGGTGAGCCTTTCAGGAGCTGCATCCCGAAAGCCACGCCCTCTCCTTTTGCTATCAGTCTGGGGTTAGGCCAAGGGGTTCTGAGACTCTTCCGCTCTTCCAGTTGGCAGATCAAAGACTCTAGCCCCAGCCCTCAGTGTGGTCTAAGAGCAGATGACATGGAGACCTGAGGTTTTAGTATCAAAATGCAACTCTTTGAGGTAGGACACCTATAAGTTCTTCTGCTCCTAGACAAGCTCAGTGGCAACAGGTTCAACAGACATGTGGTTAGAGGTGTGAGCAGCAGGGAAGCCCAGGCACCAGCCCAGGCCAAGGGAGCAAAGGACAGAAGGGGGCCTTGGGGGTGGCTGTGGCACCATCCCTGGGAGCCCAGAGGGAAGGGTGGCATGCTGGGGACAGAGGTGTCAGCTGTCACACTCCACCATGCTATCTTCTCTCTGACTGGGTTCTGAGACAGTGTTGGTAGCAGATCCTGGGGTAGGGGGACCAGAATGGGCTCCTCACTAAAAAGAGGCCAGTAAGATCCCCAGGGCAGTTAGAATCTGGCCCCTAGGCCCTCATTCACCCATAAATTTCTCTCCATGAACCCCTGATGACCCAAACTTGGTTGGAAAAAACTGAGGCATGTCCCCCCTGAGGTCTAGGACAGTGGAACCCTGCCCCCTGCAGCTGGACCAGACCGTCCCACTGTCTCCCTGTCAGTGTCTACCGTAAGCACACATCTCCCCTTTAAGTGAATGGGGAGCTAGCTCTGAGACATGAGGTGGGGTTGGCTCTGGTGCACCCAACACTGAAAAGCTAGCAGCTGGAAACCTATTCTAGTGGGGTGTGAGCATAAATAGAGACTGGGAGGTAGGGATGGCAGCTCAGGCTATGGGGAATGGAGCCAGGGTCAGCGGGGACTTCCCAGGCCAGGCAGCATGAGACCAGCCTGGGGGTGACAGGTGTAGTTGACAGCCCAACCTGAGCAAAGGTGATGAGAGAAGATCGTGAGACCCTTCTCTAACCATGCTTACACCTTTCTCTCCCCACCTTTACACCCCTCCCCTCCAGATCCTGTGGGCGAGGACAATGCCAGGGAAGTGGTTATTTCTCTTCTCGGACCTAGCTAGATGAGGTATCAGGAGAGATGTGTCCCAAGAGGCACGAAAATATGCTGAGAGCTACCAAGACACACGCTCCTCTGCAGAGACTGCCCAGGGTCCAGACTCATCTATCCTCTCATACCACACAGCAGTGGTTGAGCACTGAGGGGCCTGAGCCACCATGGCCCAGGACTGGGTAAACATTTGTCAGCAATGAATGACAGAATGGACAGAGACTGTAGCAACAGCAGACACTAGGACCACGCCCAGACTGCCAAGGGACACTTTAGTCATGAGAAAGCACCTATATAGGGCTAGCTTTTCACCAGTAGGTTCTCAGTAAGGGCAGGAAGGCTCCTTCAGGGCAGGGTGGGGGGCTTCCAGAGGTGTCGAGGCACAGCCACTTGCGTCTGGTCATGGAGAGATTGTTAATTGGCAGAGTGAGTAGGATGGGCCTGGTGACTACTCCTTAGGCCTCCCCTGTTCTGTTAACCCTTATCCCAGCCCAACCCTGACCTCCATCCAGGGATCCCTAAGGATGAATCCAACGTGATGAAAGGACTGGTGGCCAAGCATATCTACTGTAACATTCAAGCTCACCATCCCAAAAGCCCTGTAAAGATGGAGTCAACAGCTGTTCCATAGATGAGATTGCTGAGACCCTGGGAGGGGAAGATAACAGGCTAAGCTGCTAAGTGACTCCCCAGTCTGCCAGCTTGGATCATGTCCCTCCACCGATATGTTTCTCTTGTCCTGAGTCACTCCCCACGAATGCCTCTGTCCACCCTAGTGTATGAGCCTGTTGGGAAGTGAGCAGACCCCACAGACATAGGATGGGCAGACCATCAAAACGCAGCCTTCTGCCTAGGCATCTCCAGTCCCTCCACAGCTGATGCCTGCCCTCAGCTTTGTCTGTAGAGTGAATTGTCCTCCAGAGAGTATCTGAGGAGACCTGGGCACATTCAGAGTGAGACCACACGCCTGGTGGAAACTGGTAGGAGCAGGTTGTGGGTCCTGTACCTCCAGGCTGGCATAGAACTGTGCAGTGGGTGTAGGGATCCAGCAGGGTGTCAGATGGAAACAGACATACCAAGGCGGGAGCAAAAGATGACTCTCAAGGCTCGGAGAGTGGGGACACTGACAGCATCCCCCTAGACTAGCCATATGCTCTCCACCACCATCACAACCTGACCTAGACAATGGTGACTCAGACAATGGCCACCTCGCCAGCGACAGGAAAGAAGACCCCTGCGGGGGAATGGAAAGCTCCACAGGGGCTCTCCAGCTAGTGGAGCCCTGCAGCACTGGCCGGGCCAAAGCACACTCACCGGGACGCAGGAGCAGGAGCGTGCACAGGAGCAGGAGCGCAGCACCCAGCCTTGCCACCAACGGTATGCGCTGCCTGTGGCAGCAGGAGCGCCTCCCCATACTGTGTCCCGCCTGTGGCAGGCAACAGTCATCCGGTGCGGTGCGTTCTCCCACTGTGCAGCCGAGGCCCAGGACACGCCCAGTCCTGACCTTAGCCTAGGTCCCGCCCAAGAGTGGCGTCTGGGGCTTCTGCCAAGTGGTAGGTTCCGCTCTAGCTGGCTGAATGGGTGAGGCTGGAACCCAGGACAGTGAGATGCAGTGTCTATCCCTATTACTAATCATTAGAACCCTCTACCCTGTGCAGGTGGGAATTAGGAGTGGCGAAATTCTCGGGTATAAGTGCCCCAGGTCGATGGGCCTTACTGGCTGAGCCAGAGGCTACAGCTTGCATTGTGAGAGCCAAAGCCATGTTGCTCAGAAACTCAGGCTCCAGGTGCTCAGGCTGGACGCTGAACCCTGGGGCTTTAACCCCTAGTACTGGGCAGCTGTTGTAACTCTGAGAATGACAGCTCTCGTCCCTAGGCTTTGGGACTCCTGGCTCTCAATATTGGCTAATGTCACAGCTTTCAGGCCCAGGGTGCTGAGACCTTCTGCTGTTAAGAATCAGTAGCATCTTGTTGGGTGGTGGCGGCGGCAGCGGCACACGCCTTTAAGCACTCAAGACAGAGGCAGGCAGATCTCTGCGAGTTCAAGGCTAGTCTGGTGTACAGAGCAAAATCCAGGGCAGACTCAATAGCTACTGAGAAACCCTGTCTTCAAAAAAAAAAAAAGAAAGAAAAGAAAAAGAAAAGAAAAAGAAAAGAATCAGTAGCTTCTCCTCAGCCTGCTTTTTTTCCAGCCTTGGTAATTTCTTCTCTCCTCTATACTTGCCTGCGGAAGCCTCTGCTCTCCACAGCAGCCCCTCAGTTCCCATTCTGGGGAAGACCACATTGGAGAAACCCTCCACATGGCAACACACGTGATCATGATCAGAATAGAAGTGTGGCAAGCAGTGTCTGCACCAATCAGGGCAGCCCTTTCTGTAAATTAAGGACTAAGTTTGCACCAATCATAGCACAGGTACCAGGGAAAAGGCTCCCCCTCTGTTGTGGGTGAAAATACCCAAGAGCTGTGTTGATTTCCCAGACACTGATGGTGGGCAGTGTCTGTTTGAAACAGCTGTAACTGAGACCGTGAATCAGGATCTAGGGTGTGCTTTGGGATCCAGCAGCTGAAGTCAGAGCTCAGCTTCTCAAAGTGCCCTTTCGCAAGGTGCCCAAGAAGAGTTCAAGACAGCCAGAAACTATGAGGACAGTGCCAAGATCTCACTACCAGAGAAGGATCGAATAACCGTAGGGGTCACAAATCTTCCATGGTCCAGGACCTTAACTAATATAAAAGGGGAAAAACACCTAACAAGCAGTAAAGAGTGCTTTACAATAGAGGCCTCTTTGTAGCTGTCTTAACTAAAGGGCCTGACTCCTGTCCAGTGCCCCAGGAGCCCACGGTGACATTAGGTAGGAAGGGAGGTGTACTGCACCACAATGCAGGGCAACAGTAAAATGTGCAAGGCAGGGGAAACATGAGGGAGCCATCTCTGACCCGGCTCCACCTGTTACAGTTTGCTCTGAGGTGTCGTCATCCTGCCAAGGCCCAGAAGCTTGTCAAATAGAGAAATGGGGAAAGCAGGCCCCTCCCAGAGAGTGTCTCCTGCCTTTCTCAATGGCAGAGGCCAGAGCTCAAGGATATGGAACCTGTACATGGTAGTCCCTGCCCCATGCCAGGATCAGTCATGAATGTTTCTCCCTTCCCCCATGGTGTAGCCTCACTTTCTTATGTGTCTTCAGGTCCTGCTCAAATCCCAGTCCGTGCAGGACTTGTCCAACCTTGAGGAGAAGGAAGGGCTCTCAGGTATGCCTTCCTGAGCTCTGGGCCTGTTGTGCCTCATCGTGTCACCCACAGCTGCTGCAGGCACAGGGGGTTTGAGTTGTAGAGTGACATCAGAGTAAATTCCAGCCCTTGACAAATAAAGAAAGGGCTGGGAGTGTGGCTTAGTGATAAAAGGCTCTCCTAAACTGTGAAGCCCTGGGCTACATCCTGATACCACAAAATAAAAAATAGAATAGAGAAACATCCAGCAAGTCCTGTGAGCTGGGGATTGCACCTGACCTGAGAGTCTTGCTGCCATGAAGCCAGCCTCTTAGGGAACCTAAGCAAGCAGCTGGTCCTGTATGTGCAGGAAGGGCATGGCTGAGCCAGCACTTAGCCTTGAGTGTGTAGGGTCAGGTGCTGCAGCCAGAGCTAGTGTCTCAGCTGCCGTCTGTGTCTCAGTTCCCGTACAATAGGGGTATATTAACCCCATTGTGCTATGGAAGTTAAATGAGAAGCAGAGATATTTGAACAGTCTCAGGTACAGCAAGTGTCAGACTTGATATCAGTATTCAATAATCCTAATTGCTGCCTCTTATAGCAATGATTTATTACCTATTAATAAAGACTATGAAATAAATAGCAGTTATACATTTAGCTTCAAACAGCAATGATGGTTCTACCTTGCTGGATGGGAACCAAGCTCATACTAGAACCACATCCTTCTATAGGGAACAGCTACTTCCTTCCAGCTCAGCCCATAACCCAAGGATTCTGGGCCATCCACAATACCTATCTGCCCCAAATCTCACCCAAACTTACAGGGATCCTCAGACATTGATTCCAGAACCGGGTGTAGCCTTCCAGTCTTCAGTGTTTTGGCCTTCTAGGTTGCCACCTACTGACCAAAACTGAGAACATCTCAGTCCACTCTTGTCCCTAGAAATGGGAGTCCCTGGAGGCCAACAGGAAGATATGAAGTCTTGGAACCTATGTGCAGATGCCTTCTTCAAAGCCCAGATCCCTGGTAGCTCCCTGGAAAAGCTTCCTTATGCCTGCTGCAAAGACCCTGAGTGAGTGTCAATTATAGCCAAGTAACAAATTGCTTTGAAATTTAGCAGCCTCCAAAAACCTTCAGTTCTGTGGATCAAGACCTGGGGAAGGGCCCCCAGGGGTCCCATGCTACTCCAGGCCACTGAGATGGCCATCAGCTGGGAGTCTGCCAGGCAGCACATTTGATGGCTTCATGATCACATATGACATATGTGGCTGTTCTTACCCAGGGGCCTTAGAACCTTGTGACCACAGAACACGGCTGTATGACTGTGTGACCTGTCTTAACTGGAACCACTGCGGTTGGACCAGGACCCAGTGACAGGACTGGATTCCCACCTCACACAGAGACATGTCTGGGAATTTGAAGACCTGATTGTATTCTGTCTCTGCATATTATAGGAGCATTAAGGAGGCTCTGGGGTGGGCACTAATGGACAGGTGAGGTGAGAGACGGCACAGCTCCCCACATCCTCCAGTGGGTGATTCTGAACACTGCAAATCTGATAGCTCAGACTTCTGGATGCTGGTTATGCCTCTCAGTGTTGGTGGGGGGGCTAGCAAGAGGGCAAGGCTGTCTCTGGAGATGAAGTTCTTCAGTGCAGGTATCAATGAGAAAAATACCTATATCTCATATGGTGCTGATTACACATGGGGCATCTTCAGGGCCCTTCAGGTATGATGTCATGCCATCCCCAGCCACATCTATGAGATACTAGTATTGTTAGGGTCATCCCTTGGTGTCCATGGTACTGGAACTGCAAATACCACAGTCCCTACCTTACAAGTTATGGCATGTAACATGTGAAGTCCTCCCATTCGCCCCCAGTCATCCCTGGGTGCCTTATACCCAATACAATGCCATCGTTGTGCAAACATTCTTTAGACTGTATTGCTGGAGGACCCATAGTCAGGACAAACATAGGTACAGGTCCGCACAGGTGCACTTTTAGAAACATCCTCAGATGTGGATCCTAATGGCCAACCCTCCTTTCACCTATGGAGTCCTAGAGAGGCCAAGAAACTTGCCCAGTGACACACAGCTAGTGAGCAGGGTAGTTGTGGCTCAAGTATAGCACACTGCCGTGTTCAGCCTATGTGAGGCCCTCATTCCTTTAAAACGTTTGCAATGTTTGTTTTCTGACTAAATAACTTATTCTAGCATGAGATTCACATGCAGCTGTGAGGTGGTGTAGGCACCCCATGTGCCATCTGTCTCCCCAGCAGTGATGTCCTGAACATCCCAGTCAGGATGCTTACTTTGAGGCTGTCTGCCCCACTTCTTGGGGAGAATATTAAAGATGCTTGAATTGGTTGCAAACATTTAAAAGTCAGATTTCACAAACAGGGTTATGGCTTACTTTTGAGATCAGGACTTTGTACAGACAGATTTTTGAGGGTCTCTGTCAGTGGGAGAGGGATTGGAACAGAGAACAGAGGCTAGCCAGCCAGGTACAATGCAATACCACCTAGGAGAAGGCTCACTAGGAATGAGAAGCAGTGGATTGCTGCTTGTAGGGCTATTTCTGCCCCCCCCCCACCATCCCAAGGGCCAAGGGAGTTAGGGTTTATCCAACTCTGCAGTCTGCTTCTGCCCAATGTGGGAAGAACAAGCTCTATGCACCAACACCAATGAGAACAGAGAAGCCTGTGCAGCCTCTGGAGTGGGAGCCCAAGTGCTCAGGCTCAGAGACGGGAGGAGCAAGACTGGGCTGGCCAAGGGAGCCCTACCTCACTCAGTCTGGTCCCAGCATGCAACAGTACCTGGTGCAAGGTGGTAGTGCCAGGACGCCTGAGCCTGTAAGATCAGGAGGTTAGGTGGGAGCTAAGTGACCTCCCTGTGGGGGCACTGAGGACTCCAGCAGTAGGCCCTAGGGACTCCAGAATGAAGAAGACTTCTCTCAGTCTCGGACTCTGTGTAACACCATTGACAATGGAAAGAAAGTGAGGTTTACTCCCCGACCATCCAGTCCCCAATCAAACACCAACAGGCATTCAGACCCTATCTACCTGGAGCCCATGCCCACTCCACAACTGGGGGCTGGGTCTCCAAAGCTGCACCACTTTAGATGCTAGTTACAAGCAAGGTAGTGACCTGTACATTGATTGACTGGCCATAAATTGGGGTTCCTGTGGCCTGCTCCATTTGTTAAAAACGGCTTAAGATGGAACTC